TCACTCCTGGGAGCCAGTTGGAGGAAGGGGGGGGTTGCTGGAGAAATCTCCCCCCCCAAAAGTAACTCTGAAAAGGGTATATCTGGGAAAGCGGGGACTTTTCCTGCATCCCCGCCATTTTCCATTTGGGTGGGAGGGCCACGGGGAAGAGCGCTTGGCATTCCCTGGCAAAGCTCCATGGGCAAAGAAGGGGGAGTCGGGACCGCCGGGTTTTGCTCCCGTACCTCCGTTGGCCTCCTCAGTCAGTTGCTTCACTCTCCCCTCCACGTCAGTGAGTCTCCCCTCGGCACCTGTCTCTGCAAGGCACAGATGGAACTGATGTTAGCCCTGCAAGGTAGACCAGACCAGAAGCACCACCAGGAGGACTCCCTCTATCTTTATGGTACGGCGGCAGGAACAGAATCTTGCAAGATGGAAAGGATCCCTCCCCTCCTCCCCTTTTACTCTCCGAAAATGAGGGAGGGTCCCTTCAGAGACGCTTCCCGCGCCCTCTCGCCTTTGGCGGGCTGAGATACCTTGTCCAGTCTGCGGCTCTCCCTCCTGCCTCCCGAGGTCATTCCCACAGACCCTTAGAACTGGGGAGGGATGGGGAGCCCCCCCCACCTCCCCCTGGCATCCCACTGCCCACCTTGCTTCTGCTTGGGGACAGAACCAGCTGAGTCTAGCGCAAGAGTGATGCTAAGCAGAATAAAAGGAACGGAAGAACGAAGCTATTAAGGGGAACCAAGGCTAACCTCGGTTAAGCAGCCCGTTGAGTCAGTCAAGCTTCTTTCGGACGGGTATCTTGTTCTCCCACAGATATGAACTGGGGTAAGAACTCTGCATTTGGGTGCAAAGATTTTTCTGCCTTGACTCTTTCATCCTGAACTGGACTCTCGGTCGCGTTTCTCTGAATCCTGAAGTTGGCCACCTTTGGTCACGGGGCTGCCCCAGACGTGTTGGGAATGCAGTGGAAGCCCCCCGCAGCTGGGGTGGCTGGGGAGTGGCCATGGGGAACGAAGGGCCGAGGATTCTGGCCCTGGACTAGATGACCCCCTGGGCCCCGGCAATCCTCACCTTCTCTGTTTTGAGGATTCTAGAAAGCCGCTTTAACTAGTTATGTCTCTTGGCTGAAGTCAGCTTTGGGGTATATTGTTCATTTTTCTGTGGTACGCCACCCAGAGTCACACGGTGTGAGTTGGGCAGCCCCATAAAATCCATCAAATAAATAAATAAACGTTGTTGGGAGCTAACATTAAAGGAATTTTGCGGGGGCAGGAGGAGGAAGTTCTTCCAGGGTCATTCTGGACTATCTTAAATGCTGTGTGGGGTTTTGTTTTAGAAGCAGCAGCGTTTTTATGGGCCCAAGCGCAGGGCCAGCTCACTTTCATTCCAGACCTGCGACGCGACACGAGCAGAAACCGGAACCAGACCCAGAGTTTTAACTTCCGCTGATCCCTGCGAGGCTTACCTTGTTTCTGGAGATCCGTGATCTCCTTCCCAGCTGTTTGATTGAGGCTCTCGAGACTCTCCTGGACCTTCTGCAACTGAGAGTTGTAGAGATGGCCTGGGAGGCAACAAGAGGAAGGGAAAAGTCTTGAGGAAGAGGAGGGCCTAATTCTGTCCTAAATGTTGTACCCAACTGCTTTCTTATTTTGCCCCGTCTGCGCTCTGCCTGGTGATCACCTGGTGGTCGCCAGTTCCCTGGCCTTTTGTTGTGCTCCGACCTCTCTTCCGGCGTTGTCCCACACCAGCTCACTCACCTTTGGCCCCAAACACGATGACCGTCACGGTGAGGACGATGCTGAGACCCAGCAGGATTAGAACCAGATGTCGGCTAGGGCAGACACGTCGGCCCCAGGTTCGGCTCCGAGGCAGCTTGGGAGGAGCTAAGAGAAGAGGACCCAAACATGTTTTTTTTTCCCCCAAACCTCAACCTCCACTTACTAATGGCATCTAATGCTTACTCAATCAGCATCTTCCAGCAGGGCTGCAGGGCTGGGATCTTGGTGCACATCTCATGGAATCAGGCATTCAGACTCTAAGTATGTTTGGAGTTCAGCTTCCAAGCGGGACGAGGAAATAATCAGTGCAAAAAAGATGTCTCATGCAGGCCAACCCTTGCTTAATCCAACTGGAAGGTGTAAGGCAGCATTTCTCAACCTTGGCAACTTTATGAGAAGTGGACTTCAACTCCCAGAATTCCCCAGCCAGCACAGAATT